GCCCAAAGAACCTGAAAATCCGGTTCAGGGACACTGAGCGGAGAAGGATTTATCCAGCCAGGCAGAGTGTGGCAGACCTGATCAAACCACTGGAAGTTCAACCATGGCACCGTCAAAAATAGAACAAGACATCCAATGATTGAAAAAGTGGCTGAGGGTTTTGCTGGAAAATTCTTTTGAGAGACATCTCAAAGACCCCTTTGATGGTTGAAGTAAGGGATGGGATTGCCCGAGCGTGACCAAGACGGTACTGTGGTATTTGCAATACACAAGGCAACACCATTTGGCGGTCTCGGATTGGCCGCCCAGCTCAGCCCTACGAGGAAATCCACCCACCCCGGGGGAGGCAAGCGACCCAATCAGGGATTCTTCTCCAGACGACTCTAGTTATGACCTGCACAATTATTGCGTCTCATCCCTGCGCCCCAAATGTTGGGCCAGTTGCAACTAGTTCACAGCATGCCACCACCACGTCATTACCCGAAATAGCCACCGCTCTCCCAGTGTGAAAGGCAGCGCCAGCGGTCGGTGAAATGCCCATCCCAACCCCTCCCGCAACTGCAGTTCCACCACCCGTCTCCAGTCCACATGATGTGCAAAATGAAGCGGAAAGTGATGCTGGCTGATCGACTTGATGGTGCAGTCCATGTTTGGGTGCTCTTGAAGGTCTACTTGTGGCTGTAGCAGAGCTGGATGGTCACCCTCCAGGTCTAATTCCATCTTCAGGGATCCCGTGCTCTTGAACTGCCGTACCTGCACCGCCAGGTCATGGTTTCGGTGGTGAGAGTCTCCTGAGTTCTTATCATGAACAATCGTAAGGTCGATGAGAGGGTGTCCTGAGCTTTCGATAAGGTGATGGTGGGTGGGATGCGGTGCCAGGTTCACCTGAAACTGGCCTTCCACAATCAGATTTGGCGACGAGTGTTTCTGGTGCACAAGCACTCGAGTAAACCGGAGGGGAAGGTCGATCAAAGCCAAAGATTGAATCACTACTTTCTGCGGGGTTGTTCCATTCTCAGTAATGGCCCGTCGTGCCAGCCCGTTGTTCACGTAGCGGACAATATGATCGCAAATCTGAGTCTGGTACATGTGCCAGAATCGTTGTAGTACACCATTTACCCATTCCACAGTCTCCCCGCGGGAGAGGATTTTATGGGCGTGGTATCGCTTGCATTCATCGCGAAGGATGCGCTGAACTCGGGTCAGGTTAACGACCGCATAAGTCCGACATACCGCCAGGACAAAGAACAACCATGTTAATCCCAAGTCGAGACGGCCAACGATCCAAGATATGAGGCAAACGAAGACGATGATGCGGGAGTCATCGTAGGTTTGTTGAATAAGTTCGACCAGGTCGAAGGGTTCCGGTGTCAGCTTAGGCTTACCCATAGCGGCAGGAACCAAGAAGCGACGGTGTTGGTGGTGGTAGTGTGAGTGGAAAGATAGTTCGAAGTAGAGTTGTGTTGTTCAGGGTAGAGTAAATAATGTAAATAATGAGGCTGGTCGGGGGTTCTCCATGGTCAGCCCAACCAACATGATGAAATGGTGTGGATGAAGAGCGGTGATGATGACGGAGAGGACTGGGGCCTTTATACCGACCGCACAGGGCTGCTGCCTCTGTTCATGCAAGCAAAGCCACCGCTGACTACAGAGAGGATTGTCGATTTGGGGGCCTATCGCAAGAAGTTGATGCGGGTAATGCAAAAACCGATCGTGGGTGGGACTGCGTCACAATGTCATACTAATATTACGTAGTAATTTACGTTTAACTAAACACTCCTCTCTTTCCTCCTCAACCACCACAACCATCAAGTACTGTATTTGCTTACTCTTCTACTCTCCCTTCCCTCTCATGCCCACTTCCCAATAAGCGCCATGATGCCGGCTCCTAGCAAGACGCAGAAGATCATTCCCAGCAGATGCGACCGCCGCTTAGTCCTGTCGGGGTCGAACAGGAAATCGCGAGCCAACAATTCCACTAATCCGCTGTAGATCAGAATGCCGGCTGATACAGCATCCAATACTCCTTGAACAATATTTGCTGTCTTGGATCCCGAGTTATACGTCGTCCGCAGCCCGATTCCGATGGCAATCGAAATGGGCGTGGTGAGGCCGTACGCCATGCAGAGAACCCACGGTAGCCACCAATGCCGGCCAAAACGCAGGGCAGACATCCGGGCGCCGATCCCAAGACCCTCAAACGCTTGATGGAAGACCAACACGGGGTATAGAGTGCTGAATTCTTCACCAGTCACGCCTAAGTTCAATCCGATTATTACCGAATGGAAGATAATGCCGAATTCCAGAATAAGAAAGGCAGCAATATCTTTGCGGAATGAGCGCTCGGATTCGATGGAGCAAAAGTCATCTTGAGCTCCAAGCTGCTTGGATCCCCCGGTATCGTCGTTTACCGTACACTCATCGTCGCTCTGGATCAAGTTTGCTTGGGCCAGGAATCGGTCGGTCGCGTCGTGCTCTTTTTCCACGCCATATACGCATTCGACGTATACCTCGGAGGCAAGGTCCATCAGAAATACCACCATAACAGATGCGAGGACAATAGCGGGACACCATGAATACTCCGCCCAATTTTTTGATACGCCCACGCAGGTTGTGCTGCCGATACTTTCATACGCTGGATCCAAGAGGTGGATGAATGCGGTGGCGACAATAACACCCGTACCGAAGTATCGAGCGAAGAGGTAGATAGGGTAGGGGATATTCCAACGTGGTATTCTCTTGCATACCACGGGAAAAAGTGTAGATGCTGATGAAGTTATTAGAATCACAAATATCGCGGATATGCGTGCCCCTAGGTGCCCGTTGTAGTCATTTTCGGACAGCTGCAAGTAGCAGTAGATTTCCTCCACACTGGCAGTGTCTAAGTTTACATTTGTTGGATCGAACGAAGACATGGTGCTTGAGATAAATGTTGCCTTCTACTTCATGCGTGGAAGAGGTGTCATTATATTCTAACTGATTGACAGAGTACCTTGGGGGATCGTCATAGGATCCTGGTCTGGCCACAGGGTCCCTAGCCCTGCACTATGTTCTGACTTTGGTGGCAGACCCTTGCATGGGGCACACCTTACCCCCAAGGTTGGGGCTTATAGCCAGTGAATCCTCAGTTCTTTGCAGCCTTTTGCTCTGAAGCTTCTAATACGCTGGTCGGATACGCTTGCTTAGAAGATGCGAAGGATTCAAGACCAGGTACCACTGCAGCTGCCTTATGAGTCCACGGAAATACAACGGCAATATAAATCGGTTAGGAAAACTGCTAAGTGGTTAGTATTCACCTCATGGTGCCATAGTCATCCGTGATTGTCGCAATATTGATATTGCGTGCTGCGAGGAAAAATCGCACACCCATGAGGTCAGAATGCCAGCGACGCCATTAGTAAGTTCGAATTCAGGACACCTCGGGTATCTACGACATCAAAGAATGTGCTCTGAGCTTTACCTATGATCTTCCCGTTTCGTATCTGGCTCAACTGAGTGATTGTTGTGTCGTCGAGCGAATTATTCTGATCTTCCGGCCATATCAATTAGCTACAGCCTTTCTGTACCGCGCTCACACCGTTTGGCGATATGCAAAGCGTCTACCTTCGCTGCCGGGTCAATGTTACCGGAGGCAGTGCTGCCATGGTGCATCCACCTTTTCCTGTAATTTTCCGCCAATGATAAAGAACATAACAAGGCATCCAATTATTGACTGCAAGTCTAGCAATGACGGGCAATTGCGACTCATACATCCGTCACCAATTAATTGCTTGATCATCAGGGTGTTGCTTTCCTCGGCATAGTGTTCGCGTTCACATAGACTGGGCCTTGGATATTGGCTTCCCTGCCTCTTTCTGGCGAGCAGCTCTTAGGGTCAAAATGATCCAGTCTCACAACATCAAGCAGCGGCGCAACTGTGCTGGGTGAGACACGGCTCAGTAATCTGGAGCACCAAATACCACCTTCTCGCCAATGGCATTGCACAGATGATACCCCAACCTATGCCCTCGCGCCATCAACTTCCACGACTTAATTTGAAGTGCGGGTTGGATATGAAGACTGGTCGGAGACCACTGGGTATTCTTCTCGGTGGAGCAGAGGTTAATATCACTTTTCGACCGACAAGCTTATTTCGCCCCTTAGAGCCGGTTGTGACGTCTGGTTCCAGAAGCCGGTTTGTTTAGCAGTATGGTCTGATTGATTACCACGACTCAGGCACTGTCTCCTTTGAGTAGGGCCCAGAATCGGAATGTGGATATTGTACTCGTCATCCCGCGTTGTTTAATGTGGCCGATGCAGAAGAAACGGGGCGCGCTTTGCTCCCCGCAGCACGCGGCACATTGAAAATATAGAGTCATATATCATGGCACATTGAGCCAGTAGTAATCTGGATAAGCTTGAATAGGAGTTCATGACGATCTGCTGGGGTCAATTAAGTGTGGGGCTTGAGGCCTGGCACAGTGGATCCTCTCATCCTGCCGATCACTAGGTTATCTTCCCACTGCCACCGAATGTGCCAATCAAGATTCCCTCGGGGAAGAATTGAATTGAGGATCGTCAGTCTCTCAGACGAGCTGGAGACTGTGCGCGGGTCATTAAGTGCCGGGTTAGACTTAACAGTCTTGACTCGCGGGACAAGGGCTCAAACCGTTGCACGATCGGCGGGCGGGAGAAAAGCATCCAGAAAGATGACTGGATTTGTCCCGTCCGAGGGTTTCACCATGCGATCCATGATCAATCTGCGACACACTCCGCCATGATTGACATGGCTGTTTCCATGTTCGCGCCAACTTGCCGTGCACACATGGCAGCCAAGCCCAAACCCTCTATGGCAGGTTCTTCGAGCCTCCAACTATTAAACTACCTCTCGACTCAGCTTTAATCCAGCTTCCATCACCAAACTAATTCGCAAATTCACATTCTTTACATTCGTTTTCTTAGAACTGCTGGTTCAGTCATTCCTTTCATATCAACAACCTCGATTTCTGAGGCTCGTTGCAATGACTCTCCTTCGTCATCTCCTGACGGCAACTGCCTTGCTTGGAGCTTCAGTCCAGGCAGCGCAGGGTGTCACTGGCTCCCCCTTCGGTTTCGCTAGCGGCACGACTGGTGGTGGTGATGCCACTCCTGCTGCGCCTAGTGACATCAGCCAGCTGAAGACCTGGTTGTCCGACAGCACCCCCCGCGTCATCCTTATCGACAAGGAGTTCAACTTCCTCGGCAGCGAGGGCAAGTGCACCAACTGCGAGTGCTGCAAGCCCGCCTCGAACACCTGCGGCAGCTCTGGTCAGAATGCCGTCAAGCAAAATGGCTCCGACTGGTGCGGTAGCTACCCAACCTTGACCTGCACGTACGACAACGCCGGTATTGAGGGTCTGGAAGTCGCCTCCAACAAGTCCATTGTTGGCGTGGGTAGCTCTGGTGTCCTGCGTGGAAAGGGTCTGCGCCTGGTGAACGGTGTCAGCAACATCATCATCCAGAACATCCACATCACCGAACTCAACCCCGAGTTCATCTGGGGTGGTGACGCTATCACTCTCGACGGCACCAACAACGTCTGGATTGACCACGTCAAGATCAACCTCATTGGTCGTCAGATGTTCGTTGCCGGATACGAAGCCAGTAGGTTTCCCACCATCAGGTGCACATTATTTGGATTCAAGACTGACAGTGTACAGGTCACAGCGTGACTATCTCGAACAGCGAATTTGATGGTGAGACCAGCTGGTCTGCGACTTGCGACGGCCACCACTACTGGACTGTGTAAGTCCCATGTCTTCCCAAGTGCTCTTCCATTGTTACAGCTTTCTAACAATATCTAGTCTCGGATACGGTCACAACGACAAGATCACCTTCGCCAACAACTACATCCACCACACTTCGGGCCGTTCCCCCAAGCTCGAGTTCAACAGCTTCTGGCACGCGTACAACAACTACTGGTTCAACAACACCGGCCATGCCTTCGATGTTGGCAAGAACACCCGTGCTCTGATCGAGGGTAATGTGATGGTCCAGGTCGACACCCCCCTCTTGGCCGACAGCAACCCCGGTGCCGTTTTCGCCGTGAACACCAGCGATGTCTCCACTTGCACCAGCACCCTCGGACGCACCTGCGTCCCCAACACCTTGATCAGCTCGGGTACTCTCTCCGGCAGTGACAGCTCTGTGATCAGCAGCTGGCCCTCTGGTGAGTCCGACGTCACCGTCATGGCTGCTAGCAAGGTTGCTTCCTACGTCAAGGCCAACGCCGGTATTGGTAAGCTCGGCAACGGATCTGGCTCCTCCAGCACCGTCGGCGCGGCTGCCACCTCCGCTGTCGCCAAGCGTGTCGACTCTGACGATGCGCCGTATGTTCCGGCCTACTCCGAGGCTGGCCCCGGCGCCTCTGCCGTCCCCAGCCAGCCCTCCTGGTCTTGGAGAACGGTCACCAACGGCCCTGCACCCACTGGAGCTCCCTCTGATGCCCCCGCCCCCCAGGGTCTTGGTGCTCCTGTCCAGGCTTCGAACAAGCACCACCACAAGGGTCACGGCCGTGGCTACTAAGGAGGGTTTGCGGGGCCGCTTCTGAGCTGATAAGCTGAAAATGAAGCAAGCTGAAACAGTTCCCGTTCTCAGCACATATAGCCTAACGGTTCTTGAGGCGGTAACTCTTATGTACATTTCGGACACTCTTATTCTTCTTTGTACATGGTCAGGCTCTAGCCAGATATTCCTTAGCTAGTGTCTTATTTATCTTATTTAGTCATTACATCAATCCTTCTAGGTTGGGAATTTCTCACTCTCTAACTTCATAGCAAGCAACATAATATGCGTAATCTGGTTACACTGTCAGCGATGCAGTGAGGATGTTGGAAGGTGGTTGTCAATTGTCAAAGCATTATTTGTAGCCATGAATCCAAGTGCAGGAATCAAGTTATTAGCACAGGGTCCTATAAGAAAATTTTTGCAATGTAGATATCTGTTGAAGGTCCATGTCTGGCGGTGCTATGGCTGACGAGGGTCTTCGACCGGCATTGTCAAAGGCATGGATGATTACTACTAGCAGTTATAATTAAGGAGTACTCTGGATGGGCGAAATTGTCCTAGTAATACTAAGTAACTGTCAACGCTTGGTCCTACATGTTGTCGCTACTTATTAGTCCTACTAAGTTGGGTTCCAGTAAAGGGGGAACGCGACCTGTACTAGTCGCTTGGGTGAAGCGATATATATATATTCAACACCATCAGCAAGTAGTACTCACATCGTGGTAGTCTCTCTGCCTATTCTCTCACAATCACATAAAACATGTCTGGCCTTCAACTCTACTAGTACAGTATATTACTGAGCCATAATCAATTATGGCACATCTTAATTATATAAGTTGCTTTGCAGCTGTCTATGCTTATCTGGATGACGTCATCCAATACTAAGTGACACGAGGGGAGGGGGCAAAAAAGTCCGCTGGATGGAGCAGAGAATGACCGGAACAACAGAGAGAATTTTACAAATTAATTCTCAGATCACCATTCGCTAGCTGATTATTCGAGAAAAAATAATGTATGGTGTTGAAGACCCCCACAGCAGTGGGATAGTCTGCAGTCTCGATCTCGATGCGCGGCAGCCAATCACGTGAGACACTCAACGCGTGAAGGCGTCACGTCCGGCGCGAACGAGACACGAACTTGCAGCAACTCCGGGGGAGCGCAGTTTCCCGCGACAGCCATCATTCTTCGAGAGAATACCTCCCAATTGTTCAAACTACTTCGTTTTGTGTATACATTTCCCTTACCCTAATTATTTAAGAGGAAAAGAACCGCGTCTGCTTAGTTTTCTATGACCTTTCATCATGCCTGAAGCCGTCGCCATGCCCCAGAAGCGGGTTCTGGGCGATGCATCAAATAACCCTCGCGGTGTCGCAACAGATCCCAGTGCGCTCAAGAAGCGCAGGATAGAGAATGGCCCTGCTGCCACTATGAAACCCCCGACAAATGGCCAGCGCCGAGTTCCGGGCTCCAGCCAACCTCAGAAGAGTCAGTTCGAGGCGGAGGTTCTGGAGAAGCTGACCCAGGATATCAACGGGCTGAAGGACAGCAATTCGGAGAAGGACCAGCAATGGGAGCGACCGCCACTGGGTGAATTCGATCCGTCTACGGAGAATATCTGTTTTCAACAGATCGATGCGGAAGAGGGGACAATCATGGGCGGCAAGACTGCCGTTCGACTGTTTGGTGTCACCGAGGTAGGCTCTGCGTACTCCCTTGACGACCGACCATGCTCTAACGTCCGTGTCTAGGCCGGCCAATCGGTCCTCCTCCACGTTACCGGATTCCAACACTACCTCTACATCGCTGCGCCCGTCAACTTCACCAAAGACGACTGCGAGCCCTACCGAGCTTTCCTGGAGAGCAGAGTCGGACAGTTTCAACCTACGATCCAGTCAGTACAAATAACGATGCGAGAGAACATCTACGGGTTTCAAGGCAACCAGAAAAGCTATTACCTCAAGATCACAGTTACGGATCCCAAATTCATCAGCAAAGTCCGCTCCGCGTTAGAACAGGGCGGTGCCCAAAGCTTGAACTACAAAGGGCTCTGGAACAACTCTGATGGCGGGATCCTCACATTCGACAGCATCCAATACCTCCTCCGGTTCATGATCGACACGGATATCTCAGGCATGTCTTGGGTTGAAGCAAAGGCTGGGAAGTACCGCTTATTTCAACAACATGAGAAGGTGTCGAATTGTCAGATTGAGGCCAGTGTCGACTACCGAGACCTTATCTCCCATCCACCCAACGGCGAGTGGGCTAAGATGGCCCCGCTGCGCATTTTGTCGTTCGATATTGAGTGTGCTGGACGAAAGGGTATCTTCCCTGAACCGAACCACGACCCAGTCATTCAGATCGCCAATGTCGTGACGCGTTACGGAGAGTCTAAACCGTTTATTCGTAATGTGTTTGTTTTGGACACATGCAGTTTGATTGTTAACACTCAAATCCTGGAATTCAAGGACGAGGCGAAGATGCTCATGGCCTGGCGCGAGTTCGTGCAAAAGGTGGACCCGGATGTCATCATCGGCTACAACATTGCCAACTTCGATTTTCCGTATCTGTTGGATCGCGCCAAGCATCTGAAATGCACTGGCTTCCCCTACTGGACCAGACTGAACGGTGTACAGTCGCAAAGCAAGGAAACCAACTTTTCCAGCAAGCAGATGGGTAACCGTGACACGAAGTCAACGAACACTAATGGTCGAATCCAACTCGACATGCTTCAGTTGGTACAGCGAGACTATCACCTGCGAAGTTATACCCTGAACTCGGTGTCTTATGAATTCTTGGGCGAACAGAAGGAGGATGTCCATCACACAATGATCACTGAGCTATATAACGGAACTCCCGATTCTCGACGGCGTTTAGCTGTCTACTGCTTGAAGGATGCATATCTACCGCAGAGACTGATGGACAAGTTGATGTGCTTGGTCAACTACACCGAAATGGCAAGAGTGACGGGCGTGCCCTTTAACTTTTTGCTGTCACGCGGTCAGCAAGTTAAGTTCATCAGTCAGCTGTTCCGCAAGGCTTTGGAGCAGCAGCTTGTCATCCCGAATACGAAGTCCAACGACGAACAAGACTACGAAGGTGCGACTGTTATCGAGCCTGTCAGGGGCTACTACGGTGTGCCTATCGCAACCCTCGATTTCGCGTCCCTATACCCGTCCATCATCCAGGCCCATAATCTCTGCTACACAACGCTGTTGAATAAGAATAGCGTTGAAAGGCTGAAGCTTGTAAAGGATGAAGACTACATCGTGACCCCTAATGGCGACATGTTCTGTACCGCCAAAGTTCGCAAAGGCCTGTTGTCACAGATTCTGGAAGAACTGCTGTCTGCACGTAAACGTGCCAAGAAAGAGCTGGCCACTGAGACTGACCCGTTCAAGAAAGCTGTCTTGAACGGACGACAGCTCGCTCTGAAGATTAGCGCAAACAGTGTGTACGGTCTCACAGGTGCCACTGTCGGAAAGCTGCCCTGCTTGCCTATCGCGAGTAGTACTACCAGTTATGGACGACAGATGATCGAGAAGACGAAACAAGAGGTGGAAGCCCGGTACACCATCGCGAATGGCTATTCTCATGATGCCAAGGTCATCTATGGTGATACTGATTCGGTCATGGTCAAATTTGGCGTTGACAACTTGGAGGAAGCTATGAAGCTTGGACAAGAAGCGTCCGAATACGTCTCGTCCAAGTTCCTGAAACCGATCAAACTGGAGTTCGAAAAGGTCTATTTCCCGTATCTTCTGATCAACAAGAAGCGGTACGCCGGACTATACTGGACGAACCCCAACAAATACGACAAGATGGATACGAAGGGTATCGAAACCGTCCGTCGCGACAACTGCCTGCTGGTTCAGAATGTTATCGAGACGGTCCTACAAAAGATTCTGGTTGAGCGGGACATTGATGGGGCACAAGAGTAAGATCACTTGCGGAAGCCTTTTTGCTTGTTGCTAACTGTATTGCAGCTACGTCAAGGACACTATTTCCGACCTTCTGCAAAATAAGATCGATATGTCGAAGCTTGTGATCACCAAGGCCTTGTCCAAGGATGCGTATACGGCGAAGCAGGCACACGTGGAACTTGCGGAGCGCATGAGGAAGCGTGACGCGGGTTCAGCACCCACGCTTGGCGACCGTGTGGCATATGTCATTATCAAGGGTGCCGGAGGGTCCAAGAACTACGAAAGGTCCGAGGATCCGATTTACGTCCTTGAGAACAACATCCCCATCGACACGAAATACTACCTCGACAATCAACTAGCCAACCCGCTCGGCCGTATTTTCGAACCCATTCTCGGAGAAAAGAAAGCCAGCCAGCTCCTCACCGGCGAACATACCCGTGCCATCTCCGTGGCCGCGCCAACCATGGGCGGACTGATGAAGTTCGCCAAGAAGACGCAAACCTGCCTGGGATGCAAGAAGCCCTTATCCGGCAAGGAAGAAGCAGAGGGAGCCGTGTGCGCTTACTGCCGTCCCCGCCTCGGCGAGCTCTACACTAAGTCGTTGACCAAAGTATCGGACCTTGAAGTCCGGTTCGGACGACTCTGGACTCAATGCCAGCGGTGTCAAGGTAGTTTGCACTGTGAAGTCATCTGCTCGTCCAGGGATTGTCCTATCTTCTATATGCGCATGAAGGCAAAGAAGGATGTGGAGGACGCGCAAAAAGAACTGTCTCGATTTGATAATGATGCGGGTGCATGGTAATGATACAGTGATATCTTGGGTATGAAATAGCAGCTTGTATGACTAGCCTTGGTTTTACAGATGACGGCGTATTGGGAGCTAGCACGGGGTTTATATTTTATGAATGAATAATACAACATATATGTATGCATCGATAAATATGTATTCTGCACTTGGCTTGATCCTTGGAACCAACCGTACCATCTACCTGCCCCAACGAGCGAGATCAATGACCGCTACCAGGCAGTGCAAAGCAGTGCTACAAGGCTGGAAGAAATTCCAACCAATTAATTAACCAGGTGTGTACCCTATAGTATTGTGGCTGGCTGAAACAATCAATGAACAAAGGTTACTTGAATCCTGACAATGAGCTAGAACCAGGGAATTGATGGGAATGAATGTAACGCTGCCAACACATTGATACTATCTCCAATGGCTCCCGGAGGAGGCTAAGGGGATCCCCCCGATTCTTTCTTAAATCAATTTTGGGTTCTGTGCCCGGTCAGACGGTAATAACCGTTCGGGGGTTGTTAGTGCTTACGGAAATATGTTGATTGGACGTGTCGGTTATTCGCAGGTAGTGGAAGATAATTAGTCTAGATATGGCCGAGCTAGTATGCTTCGCTACTATACAACTGCATTAGTGGTCTTGGGGGCGAAAAAGGGACTGACATGACAGGGAGGCTCTCCAAGTCTGGGATGCGTGCGGCTCCAGACTATGTGCCTACTACCTAAGAAGGGTTCGTAAGAAAGTATATAAGCCTCAATAGGACCCAGTCTGGAGTGAATGACACCATCAAGTCTGTAAATCATCAATTGAGCTCCTTTCAATACTTCCTTCCCCCTCACAATGACTATGACTGCCACTACACCACCCCGTCGGGTATTCCTCATTAGCGTGCCACGCTCAGCATCCCATCTCCTTCTGAAGATCGTGGACATCCACAACCAGCCCAAGTTCCTGACCAACGAACAAGGCGGCTACTTCTTCTTCCCGGCCTTCGCGCCCGCCATCCACGGCGGATACGCCGACAAGCCACTGAACGAGTGGACAGACGCCCAAAGAGAAGAAATCAAGGCATCATTCCATGGCTGCGTCTCGAGTCTGGAAGAGTACTCGGAACGGGCTCAAAATGCGGACAAAGCCATGTTCATCAAGGAACACGCATACTGGTTCATGAACCCGGCAGTGATGCACGAACTGATGACTGGAACAGAAGACCCAGAGCTGTTCAAGACGTTCCAGCTGCGTTTATCTGAGAGCAGCTACGGACCCAACAGCTTCTCGCTCTCGAACAAGACCGTCCTGCCGGATGAGTACCTCCGCAGCTGGCAAGTAGCGTTCATCATCCGACACCCGGCTTTAGCATGGGCGTCGATGTATCGCGCCATGACCAAGATCAAGGGCTTCGGAGGGATGGGCGATAAGGAGTTTATGGGTGTGTGGAAGACGAATACGACGCTGCGGTGGACCCGCATGGTGTATGATTGGCGTTTGGAACAGCAGGGTGGTGCTCAGCCTGTGTTGATCGATGCGGATGATGTTACTCATAATCCGGCTGCTGTGAAGCGGTTCTGTGAGCTCACGGGGTTGGATCCTGAGAAGATGCAGTATGAGTGGAGTGAGGAGAAAGTCAAGGGGACGGGTCCGGGAATGCATGATACGGAAAATGAGCACTATGAGATGCAGATCAAGATTAATTGTGTTATGCGCTCGACGGTTGATGCGTCGTCGGGGATTGTTAAGGATAAGACGCCCTCGGGGCCTATTGATGTTGCTGTGGAGGTGGAGAAGTGGAAGGCTGAGTTTGGGGATGAGGCGGCGCAGCTGTTGCACGAGGCGGTTTTGGAGTCCTTGCCGGATTATGAGTATCTTAAGGAGCGGAGGATTGTTGTGTAGATTTAGTCTGTATAAATGATGAATCATTGTTGGGGTCTTAGTCTCTTGTTCTTCTGTCCTACAGTGTTACTCCTATCCTATCAACCATGGCACATTAACAAGTCCTAAAGGCTTTAGTCTCACTAGCAGGCAGGCGGCAGTGCAACGTATGGATTCAAAATCGTTCAATGATACTGGGGTTACTACTGCGGTTACTTTCTGGGAACACAGATTAGTTAGTCAAGTGTCATTATAACATCTACTACTAAAGGAGGAATCTTCCGTGTACCAGAAGTATTAAGTCTCATCCGGTAGAGCCCTTCCTCACTACTATGCTACTAGGCAAATAAATATGCATTTCAAGAAGCATCCCTCATGATAACGTCCCCATCAGCATCATGTGTACGAACATTGCTATCCTGTCGGCCTCTGATAGATTTCCGAAAGTTGATAGAATTGGGCCGAGTCGCTCTTCTCTGGCCGAACGGTTTATAAAGGGGACGGGTCGATACGGAAGTGTCACAACCTTTGTCAAAATGGCAGTCTCCGATCTGATCCGTCTGGGCTTGGCCCTCCTGAACTTGAACTGAGGACCCGAAGGCGACGGCCCAGGAACTCACAATATTACTATCGATGGGTTGCTGGTGCTGATTCTGCTGCCCGGAGGTCGTTGACGCGCCTTGGACTGCCCCGTTTCCCGAGGACCGTTGGAACGCGTTAGACAGGCTTATGTCCCTGGCGATATCGTTGGCGTGATGCGGATCCTGATTCTGGCGTTGCTGGTTCCTCAAGATAGTTGGCACAAAGATGTCCTTGTCGCTGTCGCTGGAGGTATCAGGTTCGGTGTCACCTTTATTCACGGACGTTTCTGTGTCTTTCTGGCTGCTGCGCCAACCAGCGCCAGCCACAAAGGAGTTTGAGGAGCCTGTCATGACGATTTCAGTTGGGACTATTCTGCAACTACGTCGGATTAGCGAGAGTGAGAGGGTTCGAGGTTTCAATCACCTTAGGTTACGTCCACATCATCTTGAGGAGCAATACTATGCAAGAAGAAATTTCATGATTAGGCCTTGTGAGTAGTCCTACAGGTAGCTCTGCGAGCGCCGAAAAGGATAGGACGCTTGGTGAGTATGCAAAGCATATCGCATTCACTGCTGTTACTTCACTGAATCCCTTGAGGATTGAACTACTGTGGATCTAGCATGCCATATTCCGGCAAGTGGAGCATATTCTAGTTGCCATCTTATACTCTCTCGCCAGGACGTTTGATCAAAGTCACTTCGGACTATCCACTGGCTGGGCTCGCAGTTTCCACGCTAGAGGTGAGTCTTTGCCTTAGTGGTTACTAGCCATCGATGGTAGATCACTCGATATTCGGGGCTCGGAATCTTTCTCCACTCGCTAACTGTTGCCGCTTTGTGTCATGGATAAGGTTGGATGGCGTTTCGCCCAACCCACCACCACTTGCTTTGGACAGTCCTGAGATTGGCCTGATATGACACAAAGCTGCATCTATTTATCGTCACCAGTGAGGGGAGGATGGTTGTGACAGTCACATATATGACTAAGCTAAATTATGCGGAGACTAGGCCTGAAACGGACCAGACAGACGAGGGCTACCCCTCAATCCGGTGGTCGGTGCATCACGTGCCCACACAGATCCGGACTGAGGTTCTTCCCGTCGTTCCAGAAAAACTTTGAACGATCGACAAAGTCAATTGTCAGTTCGCCACGCAGGGGACATTGAGTCGGGGAAGTTTACCGCTCAGAACTTCAGAGTTCAATATGTCTTTCACTTCCCCAGGACAGCCAAGACATGTCTGCCAGAGCCCCAGATGCCCAGGAATTGCCTCCCCTCAGGTTGTGCGGAGGCGCTCACAGCATTTTGTGACTAATTGCCATCGCCAACTGCGACTCAATCACACCGTGCAAGTGGGGTTCGTTGCCGCGTGTCCAACCAAAGAATTGCCTCGAGACGGGTGGAGAAGCACGAACAAGTGGTGCGAACGTGGTTCCCGATGTCGCGATGCAGGTACCCAGCGGCGAATAAAACATTTTTCTCCGCGCGTGGCCGAGTGTGGCGAGCTATCGTTGTCGCCTACAAGAACTCTGGGGTGAACCTCTTTTCTCGGTGTGTCATCACTCCTACACTTCTGCATCTTACCCGCCAAGATGCACCAGTCCACCACTGTCACCATGGAGGACGAGAAAATCCGCCAGTTCGGATACGGTGGTCCTCAGGTGGTCAACTACGACGATGAAGCTCCCCCGCTCAAGGGTGAGCTGGAGCTCAACGTCGGTGGCCGTGGTGCTACCCAACGGCGGCTGAAAAACTACCAGGTCAGTATGATCGGGTTCTGTGGTGGCATTGGAACCGGTCTTTTCGTGGGAACAGGCTCTGCATATGCAGACGCAGGTCCCGCTGGCTTGCTGCTGGCCTACATCGTCATTGGATTTGTGCTGTGGTGTGTGATGCAGAGTATCGCGGAATTGGCTACCTTGCTGCCCACAGCGGGATCGTTCCCTCACTGGGCCACTCGTTTCATCGATCCGGCTGTCGGCTTCTCCCTCGCTATCACATACGGTTATTGTTATACAATCGCGATTGCTTCAGAAGTATCCGCTTCTGCCGTCATTGTTGGTTATTGGACAGACATAACACCGGCGGTGGTTATTACGGTCGGGCTGGTGCTGATTTTGGCCATCAACCTGATGAGCGTACGCTTTTATGGTGAAAGTGAGGTCATCGCAGGCGCTATCAAGGTCTTGTGCTTTGTCGGATTGGTTTTTGTCGCTATCGTCATCACCTCTGGTGGCGGTCCCAATCACCAAACCATCGGATTCCGCTACTGGCACAACCCGGGAGCCTGGACGAACTACAACGGCATCACTGGCCCGACCGGACACTTCCTCGGATTCTTGTCTGCCTTTGTCAACGCGTCCTTCAGTTTCGTTGGTGTTGAAACAGTCGTCATCACTGCCGCCGAATCGGTCGACCCGCACTATTCCATCCCCAAAGCTGCCCGTCGCGTGACATACCGTATTGCATTCTTCTACATCCTCGGTGCACTCCTCATCGGACTCATCGTCAGCCCTACAAACAAAGGCTTGGTTTCTGGTTCCGGCAATGCCAACAGCTCTCCTTGGGTCATTGCCATCAAGCAAGCCGGAATCAGTGCTCTGCCGTCTATAGTCAACGCCTGTATTCTTATATCGGCTTGGTCTGCAGGCAATTCCTATTGCTGGGTAGGATCGCGCATGATCGTGGCCATGACGACCGACCGCCAGTTGCCGCAGGTGTTTGGCCGGGTTAACAAGATGGGCGTGCCATACGTTGCCGTCATCACCTCCTGGCTTTTTGGCCCGTTGGCATACCTGAGTAAGTAATCCTGTTTTTATTGTGTCGGACTCCCGATTAACGGTTGCTACAGGTCTTGGCACCGGCGGTCCGGCGCAAGCTTTCGACTGGCTTCTCAATTTGAGCACCATTGCTGGATTAATCGCGTGGGCGACACTGTCCTTCTGTTACATTCGCTTCTATTCCGCCATGAAAGCGCAGGGCGTCAGTCGGGACACTTTGCCCTGGAAGTCGCCCTTCCAGCCATACACGGCGTGGGTGGGTTTCATTGGCTCAACGATCATCACCCTGGTGGCGGGTTTCCCCGTGTTCCTCAAGGGTAACTGGTCCACTTCGGACTTTTTCGCCTCGTATGTGGGCATTCCTATCTTTATCGTGCCGATTATCCTCTGGAAGGTTTTCAACCGCACGAAGGTAAGCAGCCCCGTCTTCATCTGGTGCCGAGTGGTGTAGCTAACTGGTGGTGCAGTTTCAGCGCAGCGCCAACATCGACCTCTGGTCCGGTCGGCTGCAGGAGGGCGAGATTGTCATTCGAGAGGGCGGGCCCAAGACCCGTGTGAGACGCTTCGTGGACTGGTTCTTCTAAGTGTGGACTGGTTCCAAATTCAACTTTTTCTGTGCATTTGTGCATCTTTCGGCGGAGATACCCATTATGTTTTTCATGCAATTTCAACAATTTGCAACCCGTCACAAAAGTGTTAGACTTTTTTCTATATACATATTATACATGTTTAATTTACTCCGGGCGGAGCTGTTCGCGAAGCCTCTTGATATCATTGAACGAAGCCTTGCAGCAACCACCCACGAGGATCGAGCTGAATTGACCAGTGGCGGCAGCGTCATTGACCACCTGTGACAATTGCACCTCCCAGGGTCGCTTCATAATCAGTCAGCGCATACCATCCCAGATTACAGCCAACAATCAAAGCATCACTTACCGAATCAGCTGTACCACTCTTATCCTGCACCTTTTCCCACGTCTGCGTAGCAGTATTATAAACCTCTCCCTGCGTACCATCAGGATACAGCACCAAGGCCGGCCTCTCCTGAATCCTCCCCTCCCTCAGCAACCTCTCCACCGCATCCCCAAACAACGCAACCAACCTGGGCAACTTATGAAGCTTCGTACAATTAATCCCAATGCCCCACGGCGTCGCACCTCCCTCAATGGGCAACAGCATCGCCTCGACCACCTCATCAACAGTACTCCCATCAGGCAAGGTATCCTTATCCTCGACCGGGAAAACACACGCCACCCAAAACGGCACCCCCTCACAAAACCCCTTTGAAGACCCCACAGCCCTCCTCACAGCCCTCACCTCATCAATCCTCGGCACCGTCTCCATCGCAATATACTTGACCCTCTCCCGCAACCCCTTCCCCTCCATGGCCTCCTCATCATCAAAAAGCCCCAACCGATCCGTGTGCCACCTCCACAACTTCTCCTCATCATCATGCTCCCCATCATACTTCCCACTATACTCCTGTCCCGGGATCATGCACGCGCCATAGGGGCCCAGACTCAGCGCCACAGAGGCCGAAGTATCCTGCACCGCTTGTCCGGCGACGTCGAGCGCAGTGCGGAGATATCCAGCGATACTGGCGCGGGGGATTCCTGACGGGTGCGAGGGGGTTTTGGTGCGCTGGAAACCCTCGGGCGAGACTTGGTAGGTGGCGGTGAGGAGGACGTCGACGGCGGCGGTGGTGGTGAAGTCGCGTTGGCAGGAGAGGAGGGTTTTAGGGTCGGAGATCATTAGGTGCGAGGACCAGAGCGGGGTGGTGTCGCTGCTGAAGGTGATGTTGTAGTGGTCTTGGAGGGAGGTGCCGAGACCGCCGTCGAGGATTAGGATGGGTGTTTTTGCCATCTTGTAATGGTGTTGATTAATTGATAGGATGGTGATGGAGATGGAGATGGTGTGTTGAGGGTGAAAGAGGGGAGATAAGGGGAGGAAGAGAGAATATTTCTTCAGCTTTTGGTGGTATTGCGACAACGGAATGGAATGGGCTTTGGCTGCCCCGCAATGTGGGGTTGTTTGCGTAGGTTGCAATTTGCGATCGGGTTGGGATGGACTAAGTCTATCGGAGTATTATCATCGTTTACATGATTGTTGCTGTGTGAAGATATTTTGCAGTATAATCAAGTCTGATATGAAAATATCTATGGATGCTGGTGCCGTGGAATGGTTGGCATAGTGCAAGGACTTCTTCATGGGGGCTGAGATCACGGGACGTCATTGACTGTCTTCTATTAACTAAAACATTCCAGCCAAGCCATTCCGCTCTGTTCTAGAAGCTCAGTCGGACTTTGACAGGCGGATTACCTGTCCTCTTATGCCCCAGGCGGGAATTGTACAGAGTCAACCCTTTGCCTTCATATTTATCACTTTTGTTCCATGCTAATAATGTCTCAGTCCATCACGTCACTTTCCTCGTGAAACCTTCGCGACCATCCACCTTCCACAACCGTCGCAATGAAAACCCCAATACTTCTCTCAGTTGACCGCATAGTCTTAGGCAGCTATCACCTACTCTTCAAGACATTGCATCGACAAGAAAAGATCTCCCTAATAGAACACTGCACACTGCCGATCCATAAACTATGATGCGAGCGGTGTGCCATGACTGTGACAGGCACCAGCATCATCACAGCTAAGCCATCATTCTATTCATGCACTCTGGATTAATGAAGCGCAGTAGACTCCGTAAATACCTCGGCAAACCCACGAGTGGATATGATCATCTGAGGCTTATTCCTCACACCAATCAAGCTGTCACCAGTGAAATTGATTGATTGATTGATTGATAGGCAGAGCCGTTTTCTCATACGCTAGATAGGGAATAGAATAGAATACTGTTCGTAATTCTATGTTAGGTTACTGTACAACATAAGGATGACATCCATGTCGAATCTGCGACCGTCCCTGTCTGGATTGTGGCTTTGATCAATAGTCCCCCTCCGCCGTCATGTCGCACCCTGATACACAGCCCCAGCCACAATGTTCCACCTAGAGTGATCTATTAGATTAGATGCATGGGATGGGCACATATCCCACGGAGCTAATAACAAGCCACTTTGACGACTAGCACTGTCACGGCGGCTAACTCCTCCATGAGGATACCACTCACTGCCGGCCACTCACTGGTTCAACCAGGAACAGTCAACCAATGACAATGAATGGAAAAGCGAAACTCCCTCACAACAATACGTACATAGTATGGAGTAGTAGACCCTGCAGAGTTTTACAATGATAAGACAGAAGACAGACAATACTCGCAATCCGATGCAAGGGACCATGGAAAAACAGTCGGTCGGCCCAACGGTCTACTCTGTACAAAACCAGACCCTGCCTGCTCCATACTGTCAGTGAGTTAACTGCCGCAGTATCTTTATCCCGGACCAATCTGACTCGGTAATAGTGTCCGGTACTAGGTAACCAGGGAATAATGGAAATCGGTACGCAGCAAAGAAAAAAAAACGAAAATGAGGTTGCCTAAGACCGTTTAGGCGATAGTGCTAAGAATAGATCAGCATTGGCACAGCCCCATTGGCCCAGCATCCAAGCAAAGCTTAGGTAAAGCTTGGAGAAACTGCCCTGTTGTATTGTAATGCCTGTGTATTGGGATCGCTCGTATTCGGGTCTGTTGACAAGAACAGAGCAGAAGCAACGCGAGCGTTTTCGACTGACCAAAATTGAGTCGGGGCGATGGGAGCGAAAGCAGTATGGTTAGTTGCCGATCCGCGAATTCTAGGTTTGCGGGAGACATGGAAGTTACGGGACTATTGAAGTTGAATGAATGGTTTTGGATGATACCATGGTGATACCTATACTTACTTACCTATCAGATGGACATTACAGAGTTCAGAGTAAGCGAAGCAAGTACGTAGTAAGCATCATACCTGGTTAATCATCGGGAAGAAAGAAAGAAAAAAAAGACTGACACAGACATCATCCTCCCTCCTCACCTGGATCTCTGCATGAACCGCGCGTCTATAACACCTCCCAATTATAGACGAGCATCCAAGTTTCATCAACCACAACACAGCCCGGCCAACCCCCAGCCACGGCAAACCCGGCACAACACACCACACAAACATCTTCCCAGACAAATGAAGACAGCCAAGAAATCATGGGTTGATCTGGCGAATCCCATGACAAACAAGTCGGCCGTGCCAAGAAATTACTAGCCGGCAGGGCTGAGCGGGAGGTTGACGTGGACCATCTCGTGGCTGTGAGTGGCTGAATTCATACCAACCTCCCCGCTTTCTCAGCATGAAGCATGAAAATACAGATTCTTTCTGTTTTTGTGTCTTCTTCGCTAGCCCCCACCCCGTATCATTACACTATTAATACAGTGACGCTTACTTTACTTACAACCCTGGACCCACACGGAATGAATCGATGCCTGCGTCGTGGACCCCTGATCCAGAGAAATTGTACTGTTACTTATGGCGGATGAATCCGATCATCGTTTTTTTAAAACATAAATAGCGGGTGTTGCTCCTCGCTTTGATTCATTTTGTTACAACTGTCTACTACCACTATCTACTTAGATACTTATCTGCTATCTCTACCTCTATCTCTACTCTACATCTCATCCAACTCTACACGACACTACAGTCAAAATGGTCTTCAACTGGTTCAAGTCTTCCAAGGAGGAGTCCTCCGCTACCCAACAACCCTCCTGGGACGCCAACACCATGACCATGCAGCAGCCTTCTAGCCCCGAGGCTCCTTCTACTGAGCGCGTTGTTACGCAGCAGCCTGTACGATATCCCTTTCTTCAACATCTATCAAGTAACATAGATAAAAACTAACGAGTATTTCCAGAACACCCAGGAAGAAATGAAGATGGGTCTGCGTGGTGGTGGTGCCGGTGATGTGTGCTGCGGAGTGTATGTTCATCCCATTCCTTCCTTCTAACCTACTCTTTAAGTAATGGCGATGCTGATTTCGGATTCTTGTTGTCTAGTTGCGCCGGTCTTCTCTGCTTCGAGTGCTGCGAGGAGTGCTGCTAAGCAAACACCTCCTTCTTCCTCCCTCTCATACATACGTTCGACTACTGTCTCCGCATCTTGACGAACAAAGATAAAAACAAAAAAGAATAATAAGGAAACGGACATGTGCTGCCCATCTATGAGACGAGCTATGAAATGCGGACCTGGGTCACGATGATTTCATGGATATGGCCGATGGATGGATGATGGATGGTGTTTCAGTTGGTTTTGGATTTGCCCTTGCGAGATCGCTTATACCCGGTGTTTCTATCACATCTACTATTTCTCTATTTTCGCTTGGTTCTAGAAATGAATTGAGACAAGATGATTGCTTGTTTGATCGTTGGTCAGTGCGCTGTAGATTAAACTTGGATTTGAGCTATTATCAGATGGCAGTCTTGTTGCGTGCTAACCTTGCGTCGCGAATATTGTAAGTCCGATTTTGCGAATGATTAGTCCATCAGACTACGCTGCTCTTTCTCATATGTCACCTGCTTCGGACCCATCGTGCCAGGCCCGTACTCCACGCTACCATCCGCGAACAGACCAACGGACCTGACCAGTCCCCCGCTGATGTCGTTGATGACTTGGCTGAACTGAAGCCCCCGGTTCACCTTGCATCGAGTACTGGCCGACTCGCAATGAGCCACCAGGGCAGCCGCCGTTCGGAAGATGCGAAGACATCCAGGGCACCTAATAAGTCGTGAGTCAGACCATAGTCAACCGTCATTCAAGCATGCAGCAGCTTACTGAATGCCTCTGTTCTGGTTGGTCTTCGTTACGACATGCTCCTCAAAGTCTCTCATGCTGGAGAATTCAGCCTTACAGGGGCAGATAAACTTGCCATGGAAGGAACTGAAGTATACGGTAGGGTCCCAGTTCCGGTCCAGCGCCCGAAGAGTGTATCCTGCGTCAAGGTGGTCAATGCCGAAGGAGTTGCTTGGGCCTGGGCTTGGGCTCGATGGCCTCGCGATCTTTCCGGCAGATGTTGATTGTTCTCTCGTCTCGCTAACCGAAGACGGAGAAGCCATCGACGACTTGCTCTTCGGTTCCGGGATGTCGTCAAGAGATAGAGCGCTCACCCCGCCCACGACAGATTGAGTGGCCTCGTTGTCAGGGTCCATCTCCAAAAGGTCCTGGTCAATATGGACTCCGCCGTCTTGGCAATCGGGTTCAGCGCTCTCACCCTCGTTACCTGTCTTAAGCGCCTCTCGGAAGAGGAGTCTTTTTGACTGTTCCTGTAGCAGACTAGATAAGGGGATATTTGGGCAATCGCCGCTCTCGACGTGATTCACCATGGCACCTGCCATCTTGAACTTCTGCCCGCAGCCGTAACAGGTCAGGGTCTGCGGAGTTCGGTGTTGCTGGATAGACATCAAAAGAATTAGCTTGGAAGGATGTGACGGGTCAACAAATGCCAATATGAAGGATACCCACCTGACGGGTATGAAGGTCTCTACCACCCTCGCTGCGGAAATCGATCCCACAAACTACACACACGATATGCTTGTCACTCTTGATCTTGTGGAGCAGAAGATACTCATCATCCTGGAAATCCTCGTCGCAACGGCTGCAATAGTCGTGTTCGTTCGCCTTGTGCCTCTTCATCTCCCCTGCCGATGTAAAGACACCGCTGCACTCCTTGTAGGTGCAGGGCACCCTGGTGGGAAATCGTTGAGTGGTCATCTTGAACTCGTCAAGTAACTTGTCAAGTAGATGTGGATGGAGTGTTTGAATGGTGGAAGGGGGAGTAGATGTAGTTTTGAACAGGGAGGCTAGAAGAGTGTGCCGGTCAAAATATGCGAAATTCACCGAAATGGCGATGAATGAGAGTCACCCTAGACGACACCTGCCTAAATAGGAAGGCATGCACTCGAAGCGAGACGGAGTGAAACCTGCTGGAAAGCGTTTCATATTTCAAGATTTACGGGAGGTTTCACATATCGCATGGAATGAGGTGGCATCGAAGTTGGAATGAATTAAACAAATTCATAACTTTTCTCTCACTTTGTACCTACAGCCAGTCAATACGGGCCCACTAGCCACATACTAAAGACAATTTAAAGAAGAAATTCATTATTCAGTCATTTACAGAACACTATATATGCATTCACCAAACCCGATCTCCGTACACCTCGTATTTAGAACCGCGAGAAGGGCAGCCTAACAAAGTTAGTAAATCACCAGCGAAGCGACCATCAATCATCCAAACAACTCACCACTTTCCACGCAGAGTAATCACGGCCCAGTTATTTCCATCCGCATCTGTCTCCTTCTCCACCTTGGTCGAGAAAGAGATAGCGCTCATAATACCATCACCAAACTTCTCGTTCAGCACCGCCTTGTATGCGTACCCATAGTTCTGCACAATCTCATACAACCGGTAAATCAGGGGCTCCTTGGGAGGCATCTCCACGGTGCGACCACGGTCGGGGAAACCACTAAGCCTTTCCTCCAGAGCATCGTGAGGGATGGTGAGAAGCGATGCGAGTTTCTCGATGTCTTCGGGGGAAGCCTTGGCCTGGCCATAGAAGATAGCAGCGGTAGCCACTTCATTGCGGCCAATGTGCTGGGCAATCTGCTCGAAGCTCAGCTTCTTGGCGGCTTTGGCCTTGAAGAGGGTCTCCGACGCGGACGGCAGGTTGGGATGCTGGGCAGTCTGTTGTTCGAGGGTGATGAGCTCATGCTTTCCTCCTATTCTCGGCATCATGTATTGGAGGGAGAGCTTACGTCTAGAGTGGCGAGAGACATTGTGTCAGTAGGATGCTCGGACAGAAACGGCGATGGAGAAGAGTTGATGAGATTGAATTGGCGTAGGAGAGACGGGATTCTAAAAGCTGGCTGCCAAGGTCAAGTAGATGGAGATGGAGGGGTGTCATTCTTAAATAATCGGCGGTGATCCGCTTTTCTCCAACTGTCGTGCGGGGTACTTGCCGTCTCGTTGCAACGGTGGGGAGCTCATGTTGTGTGGGGGAACATCAACAATACCATTGCTTCCGCATGATTTATTTGTGTTAGCTCTGAAGCTTTCCGTGAAGTATCACAACTATAGACTCACTGGTAAGTGGCAACATTGGCAGCACCCTCAATAAAGCTATGGTGGCCATCGCTGTCCTCCTGCAGCCGCGAAAACGTTACACCTGCATCCGAGATAAGATACTGCGGGGTTCCGCCGAGGTCGGATCGACACCCCAACTGCCTGGCAGCTACTTTGACATCTGTCAGATATTTAATCTAGCTAAACAGATATAAAGGCCCCATCTAATATAAATAAAAATAAAAAGAGCAAAACAATGTTTTTATTTATACATAAGAAACTCTTTTTCGGTTTCGAATTATTTTCCTTCTTGTCAATCATCTATTTCTGCCTTGTTGATATCCTTCTCTTCCGTGCTGGCATGAAGCTCTGTGAGTGTCGTCATCTTATCATGAAGATTACTGAAGATACGTACATACATAAATACATCTCACAACATTCTGCTTGACGCATGCTCCTTTCTTCGTCCTGTTATCTGATATCAAATATGCCCAATACCAGGCAACGATCCAAACCAACCCCCTATCAGCTCCTCCATTGTAATGTCGAAATCCAACCCAAACAAATTCGGATCAGCCTGAACACCCTGATCCATATTCTGATTCTGCTCCGCAAACCGCAAAGACTCATTCTCAACAATCCTCGCCGCCTCCAACTGAGCAACCTGATACGCCTTATCAAACCACGTCGCAGCAGCCAGAGTCCACTTATGATAATGCGAAAATACCCCATCCTTACACGTCTTCGCAATTGCATCGAGACGAGCCACAAAGAACTGAAGCATCTTCGGCATATCAAGCGCGTCACGAAGCTCTTGTACCTGTGTATTAAGGCGAAGTGAAGGGTGCAAAGCTGCTAGAACTAGTTTGCATGCGGCGGCAACCAAAAAGCCCGATGATAGCCAAATCACGATGCTGTAGTTCCTTTCAATTACTGGTGGTAACTTGAGGTAGTAGTCGAGGAATCTCTTGGAGGCTGCTAGTCCGTGGCAGAGGGTGTCGCTTTGGGAGACTAGGAGAAAGCTGTCGGATGGTGTGGATGCTACTTTGGTGTCTATGAGACTGATTTGACATATTTGGAGTTCTAGAGTGTGGTATTGTGTTGCGATGAATGCTGTGCAGAAGGAGTTTATTAGCATCGTCAGGATGTACATCGCTCAAGTGCATGTCTAAAGGGGGAGGGACTCAGTAAGATACTGAATTACTCACGGTCACAGGTTGGATCAACAGGTAATTGGTTCTTATACTGTTCAACTTCTGCTCGAAATGCTCGAATATGTTGCTCCATGTCCGGATGGCGTTCAATACTAGTCATAGTAAGAGCATCTAATCTCTGCAGCATATGCTGTAACTGGACGTAATAGATTATATACCGATCAGTAGGATATTCGGCCACCCGAGACAAGTCTTCAGCTATTGACTCTATAAACGGTGTCCAGGGCGTTGTGCAAGTTTTTTGTCTGATAATAGCATCACTGATGAAAAGTGTAAGTATGAGTCTCGTTTCCCTTGAAAATCTTCACTTACGTGGAGTTGAGTAGGAATAATCCTATCAAGGCCCGACTTTCATCGGCGACTGTCCCTCTTCTTGTTTCGTCGCATTCGTCACCCACCTCAAGCCGTGTGGCGACTCTGTACTTCGGATGTCGGTCGAGTCGTTCGTTGATTACTACACCAACGGCAAGCTGCATGTAATACGGAAATCGACATAATTGATGCCTCTGGCGTGTTCTATTTGATAATTAGTATGTCTATTCTAGTGGTGAATTCAAAAGCAATATCTGAAGGCCATACATACCCAGCTAAGATGATCAATAGTCCCTGCAGAATCTCGAAAGAAGGCGGGTGGCTATCATGCTCTGAGCAAAGGACCTCATTTGATACATAGGATTGCAGAACTTTTTCTAGTGACTTTTGCAACGTGTCGTCGTGGAATGAACAAAATATCAGAATACAGAGAAGTACGAATGGCTTCTCGGTTAGGTCGTCGACCGTGGTGCTTGCGGGCACCATGACAAATGGGAAGAACAGCATGGCTTCACGGTACTGATCTAAGAGCTGTGTTGCGTATTCATGGCTGATCAGACCATTTTTGATTACATCGATAGTATCGGCGTGTGGGTAGGTACTGCTAACTTCACTATTCGGGGTGTGATATGGATGCTCTGGACGTCGTGGGGTGACGAGGTTGATCTGGCCCATTATCTTATCAATTTTGTCTTCAAGCATTTCTATGCGCTTGTTTCTTTAGTTTAATTAGTTGATCTGTTTGCGACTTGTTGTTTCTATGAGCGTTACCTTCTGCGCTTCTTTGGAGCGGATCGCTGCCGTGCCGGTCGGAAGTAACATTCTTTCTTCAAGCGATAGCAGCTATTATACCGAATTGCATACCATGTTAGATACTGTATACATGTAGTTTTTCATCAGAAGGATGAGTACTTTACTGACCGATCGCATATCGTTGCATCTGGCGCATGCGTACATCGTATCTTGGCCCGACGCAGTTCTCACAGGTCTTGACTCTTTCTGTTTCAATTTCCCCAACCATACTGAAGAAGATAGGGCTTGGTAACTATATGATTTTACTGATCTTGTAGAAACGGACACGGACTGGAGGTCAAACACGGACGGTAGTACATTTAAGAAGTGTCAGTCCGTCGGACACGGACATCATATCTGTCCAGCTTATCCGGCGGGCCAAAGTTGACATCCGACTCCGTGTCAGCTAAGCCAATCATGTGAATCAGGGAGCCTAATTTGGGGCCGCCAAGATCTCAAAGCTGAGGATTTCCGTGTCGACAATCCCTCTCAGCATGCGTAATCTTGGGCTAAACAAGAAAAATGAGGATTTTGCATAGCCCTATCCATTAAAATAGATCAGGCATTCGGGTTTTAGGAGAGATATTAGCCATATAAGATTGAGACTAGCCTCGAACATGTGAATTTGAAGTATACAGATCTATAGCAATATCACAATCGATTTCAATATCCTAACTACATGATGTCTTCAACTGACAGTTGTACCTTGTTAACATGTCCGCTCAGCATGGCATATATCAATTACCTTCCTAATCTTCCCGCAAATGTGTTTTTCGTGGCCTTTTTCGGCCTCATAACCGTCCTTCAATTTGGTCTGGGAGTATGGTATCGAACATGGACTTATATGATTGCCATGCTGCCGGGTCTTATTCTCGAGGTTCTGGGATACGTGGGGCGAATCATGCTACATGATAATCCTTTCGACTTTAACAACTTCCTTCTGTGAGTGGCTTCATATGTTTTATGCCTCAATCTTGAGCCTCAACTAATCAACATTTGAATCTGAAGGTACCTTATTTGTTTGACTCTTGGACCCGCATATTTCAGTGCCGCCATCTACATCTGCCTGGGGAAAATAGTTGTTATCTACGGAGAGGGTATTTCTCGATTCCGACCCCGAACATACACAAGGCTCTTCGTCTCCTGTGACCTGCTATCCTTGATCCTCCAAGCAGTCGGTGGTGCCCTCGCTTCCTCCGCTGGTGACGGCGACACGGGCGAAAGCGATACTGGGGTCAACATCATGATTGCGGGTCTGGCTTTCCAGGTCTTCTCCCTACTCGTGTTCATGGTCCTTGCTAGCGAATTCGCTTTCCGGGTCCGCAAAAGCCCCAAGTCAGAGAATGATGACTTTACTAGCCTTCGGAAGAGCCCGAAGTGGAAGGTGTTTCTTTACTGTATGTTGACCTTTGTCTGATTCAGTACACGTATGCTAATCACATGTGCATTTATCAGGTCTCGCTCTTGCCACTATTACTATCTTTATTCGATCGGTCTTCCGCGTTGCAGAGTTACAGGGTGGATTTTCCAGTGCCCTGGCCAATAATGAAATTGACTTGATGGTGTTGGAAAGTACCATGATCTCGATTGCGTGCATTTGTTTAACGGTGGCTCATCCGGCTATTATTGTCGGTCACACTTGGGGTTCTCTTTAAGGGATTCAATTGCTCTTGCATATTGAGATTCAGACTTAGACTCCTTTTAGTACATGGAATGAAAGATCATAAAGTTACGAACTTCAATGGTGGTGTCTTTGGAGAAATTGCAGAGGATATGCCCATCTATCGTGGGGTATGAAAAGAAAATCCTTCAAACTGTTCATGTTCCCATGCACACTGCTAATATATACAATTCGATGTCTTAGCGAAGTTGATTTGGGACCTCTGCGTTGTATGCATTATGAAATATGAGTCTCACTCGAGCTGAAAAAATGATGGTGGTAGTACGTTTTCAATTGAAGTTGCCATTCAGTATTCAGCAAATTTGTCAGTTTGTTGGGCAACATATATCCGAGATACTATTTCGCTGATTCCAGTGTTAAATTTAGCATCAGTTTCAAAAAGCCCCACAGCAAACTGATACCAGTATCAGCAACCACTCAATTGGTAGCATTAAAGTTAGTAACTTCCTCTCAATAATCTTTAGATACCCACTAATATCACTAGTAGCTGACAGTCAATTGATCTGCCTTGAAGCCTGAATCAACGTGTCACGTGCCTACTATGAATGTGGGGTTTATTCTGTCTCCGCAACTCCGCAACTCCGCTCCTTCTACTCCGGACAATCGTTGACAACCCTCTTGTCTGAGCATGCTTGGAGCACCATGGAGAGTCGACCTGCAATGAAGCGCGCCTCCGAATCAGAAATAGATCCACCACGTACGCGTCCTTGTCCTGCCTGCAACAAGACTTTTTCAAAAGCCGAACATCTCACTCGGCATCTCCGCAGCCACACTAAAGAGAGGCCGTATGTGTGTACTACCTGCGGGAAGGTGTACTCCAGAAGGTATGAATACTGAACCTAAGCTACTGCCATGTGCACTGACATTTGCTAGCGATGTGCTGCGGAGACATCTCAAAAGCCACGAGAAGCACTCTCAAAAGGCTTCACCGCAGCCCCGAGCTTCGATTTCAGGGACGCCATCCCGATCAGTGGCGGAAGAGTCGACGATAATCTCTAGCCCATCTCATACGGCACCAAGGAT